TAGTAGTAGTAGTAGTAGTAGTAATGATAATGTTATTGACATGTTAGTAATAACAGTAGTTAACTTTCCTTTACTGTGCCACGTGTCACATAAGCACAATACTCGCATTATGTAATTTAACAAAATTTTTACCTTTCCTCTTTGACATGCAGAAGCTGCCCTCTTCAGAGGCTGAGAAATACGGACGGCCCCAAATCCAGAAAGTGGGAGAGCGAGCCCCTGAACCAACATCTTTGTCACGTGAGAGCCAGAGGACTGGGGAGGCGAATCACCCGTGAATGAGAACCACAACCCGTAAGACGTAGGATTCCGACTCTGGCAGTCTAGAGCCACAGCCTGTGCTCATGGCCCTTCTGCTCTGCTGGTCCTTGGCATGTTATGGACTGAACTGTGTCCCCCCTAAAATAGGTGTAACTTCTAACTCCTATACCTGTGGTTACAGTCCCATTTGGGAATGAGTTTTGTCATTTTAATGAGACAGTATTAGTATAGGGTGTGTCTTAAGTCAGTCTGAGATACCTAAGAGATTAAACCAGCAAGTGAGCAAGCAGAGATGGGGGAAGATAGATGCCAAGCCACTCAAACCAAGACCGAGGAAAAATACCTAAAATACTCTACATGAAATAGGGACTGTGAGCAGATGTCAACATATATTGTGTATTCTGGGTAGTGGGGATCGGCACACAACTTTGTGAACACGCTAAAAGCCACTGAATTACACACTTGACAAGGGTGAACTTTGTGATGTGCCTTCCATCTCAGTGAAACCAAACCTGCTGCCACTGAGTCAATTCTGACTCATAGCAACCGTACAGGACAGAGGAGAACGGCCCCACAGGGTTTCCAAAGGAGCAGCTGATGGATTGGAACTGCAACCTTTCGGTTAGCAGCCAAGCTCTTAATCACTACACCACCAGGGCTCCTAAATCTCAATAAAGCTGTTACTTAAAAAAAAAAAAAAATAGGACACACCATCACTTCAGTGGAATTCCTGCCAAAAATGTATAACCTGAGTCAAATCACGAGGAAACGTCAACAAACCCCAAAACAAGCCTGAACCCTTCAAAGATGTCAGTATCCTGAAAGACATTCCCAAGGTGGGATTATGACATTGTGCTCGTGTAAGAAAATCCCCAGAGCTTCTAGAGACGCGTATTGGAGTGTGGAAGGATGAAATGGTGCAATGTGTGGGATCTGCTTTTGAAAGCTTCAAACAGGAAAAACAAATACGGAGAGAAGCAGCAACTGTGGTGCGATCTCCATAGTGATTGTTCAGGCTGGCTGATGTGCGCGAAGGACCGTTACATCATTTGCTCTCCTATTGTGATTGACTGAGATACTTTGTGTCTTTTTAAATCGAGTATTACTTCAGCCTGACAGCTTCTTCTGGGTCCTCTCTTGGCTCACGGCCTACTAGACCTAATCTCTTCTTGCCAGATGGCTTTCCTCCCACCAAGCCCCACCTCTGATAATTTGCTTTAAGTCTGAGGCAGACAAGAATAAGTAAAAAGAAAAAAACAGCAGTGTTTGCAAAGCTGGCTGAAGCTCACGCGCCACTTCCCTTCTGAACTTGAATACCAGTGAGAGACTGCAGAGGGGAAAAACGAGGCCTTGGGGCCTGGGATGCGTCCAGGGACGCCTGAGCTGGAGTCAGGCCCACAAAGACAAGTGTCAGTCCTACCCCACTGTCTTAGTTACCTGGGAGTGACTCTGACGCCTAGTGACCCCATGTGTGTGACTCATACTGTGCTCCACAGGGTTTTCAATGGCTGATTGTTCAGAAGATCACCAGGCCTTTCTCCTGAGGCACCTCTGGGTAGACTCGAGCTCCAACATTTCCATAAGCACCCACCCAGGGCCTCCCTTAGTTACCTAGTGCTGCTGTAACACAAATACCACAGGGCGTGGATTTAAAGAACAGAAGTTTATTTTCTCCCAGTTCAGGAAGCTAAAATCCAGATCAGGGTCTTGGTTGGATGGATTCCTTCTGTGAGTTCTAGTTCCTAGTGTCTGCTGGAGATCCCCGATGTTCCTCTGCGTGTAGACGACCCTCACATGGTGGCTGTCTTCCCCCGTGACTGTGTCTGTTCTGCTCTTTCTACAGCTCAGAAGTGATTAGGCTGGGGACTCCATCCCCCAAACACTGGTGTGATCTCATTATCACAACTAAAGAAAAACCGTTCCAAATAGGATCACATTTACAGGCCAGGATTTCAACACGTATTTTGAGAGGACACAATTCAATCCACAACACCCATGTTCACAGAATATTAGACTATTTGTCCAAGTTTTATCAGGATTATTTGCCCCAAAAGAACAAATGAGGAGCATCTAAGGGGTCTCTGGTGGCCAAAATTTTCCAGCCGGGTATAAGGAGCCAATCTCTACTGGAAAGAAAGAAACACACACCTTCAGCATGGTCTCTGCTCCTCCCTCCCAGGTGCCCCCAG